TGCACCTTCGGCCTGACTTTGAACAGACGCCATTTTCGCTGAGCTGTGTGGAATGTCAGGGCACCGACTCCTTCCTAAGTTCAGGGTGGACTACTGGAACCAGATAATCTATAGGATCATGCATGATATAATTGTAGCAGAAGTGCACACATATTCCACCCGTGGTTTGCAATCTTGGCGGCATCTGCTCTCGGGATCCACATAGCATGGGCATAGAGTCCACGGAAGTAGGCATTAATGTTCACGAATGTCCATTGGAGGAGCTCGATAAGCCCTCTGTCGCCCACAGCCTATAGCCGATCGAGCTGAGCACAGAACCATCTATAGATGAATTTTGGAATAGGGATGACACAAACCGACAGGGCATATAGGGCTATGCATGATATATGTTAGCGATTATAAAATGGATTGAGCCTGATTTCTATTAAAGCTAGGGATAAATCTTAAGTACTTACAACACAAACATCCTTTGCGAAAGATCGAGAATCAACATTTGCAGATGCTCCCTCTTCAGAGAGCAGGTCCCCCAGCCATTCGCAAAGCAAGATTGTATCCGAGCCTTTCCCAGCACCTTTGGGAAAGACCTGCAACCTCAGCTCCGATCTTCTAGCTACTTGCTTAGCAACCGAATTATTAAAGTATTAGCCCAACCATCCTAGTCATGCCTTGATTTTGAACAAGCATAGTTACCAACCCCCCTAACTCTACAATAGCAGAACTGCCACAAACTCCTATTCAACTCAGGTGGAAAGCGTCTTCATCTTGAACTTCAACAGTGTAAAGCCGTCCAGGCTCGTGGATTTGCCATGTCGTTTGCACCAGTAGATAAAAGAATCATACAGTACATTTAGCCTATCCTGTGTGGATCGCCCTCGGCAAAACTGGATTCTCGTAAGCAAGACGATAGCAGACGTAGCCGTTGAGGAACCAAATCCCTGGATAGCAAACGTATGAGCCGGGTCAGTTCGGAGTCTCCAGGGGTCGTCGGCACCAGGTATGGATCGCAGTGGGCTCGTATGGTCTTTCCAAGGCTCGCCAACTTCATCATCCCTTGTCCAACTACGAATACCTGATGTAGAAGAGCAGTTGTACCAGTCCTGCTATACCCAGTCACATTAGGGAAAAATTGAAGAAACCTAGCCTTCTCTAAGATCGTCATACATTATTCAACACCGGACCTGCTGCTCACACATATGGCAGATCCTGGTGCTGGAGAATCCTGTAGATAGACAAAATGCCTTCCGGAGCCACACCCAGTCTCCTTTGCACCCGAGCCATGCCAGACGGAAGTTGTGCTTCTGACCATCACATTCAACCTTCAAAGCATACTCATAAAGGAGGATAGCATAATGTTGTATATTATCGATTCTAAACCTGCTAGGTCATTGTTCAGCTCACCGAAATCATCTCACATACGAGGCACATCCAGACCGTTCCAGAAGAGATCACTGCAATCATCTGCCAAGTGCTGCAGCAAGTTGAAGATTGTTGTGTCGCCAGAATAGCACCGAGCAGGTATTGCCGTATAAAGTAGGCGCGAACAGAAGCTGTGCCTTAACTACAGATAGAGTACGAAATAATATATCAAACTAGCAGTCGTACCGTTCTAACTATATTTAAAACATATAAGTCTATTCCCAGTAGTACACATGCATAAGCAGACTACATACAACAAGCAACGATCTATACTAGCGCTAGACGAGTGACCCGCTTTCGTTCAACTTATGTTTCCCGAAGTGAGAAAGCAACCCCTGATACGAGATCACCAACACAGGCAGCTTCGTGCGTCCACGGCCTTCATCGCCGTGCAGGAAGTACGGCAGGGTGCAGCTACGATCCAGGCCTTCTGTAAAGATTGGATGTGTGGGGTCTACCTGCTCGTAGTAGTCCCAAAATTCAGTCAGGTCCCGCTGCCACCGATGAACTTCGGATATATGATGTCCTTGTAACAACCTGGATGGTGCATGTAGTTCCACCCATTCATTGAATGAATTTAGCTAATTACAAGTACGGAAGATGAGCAGGATGCCTTATATTACTAGCTAGGCCGGGGTCTCCTTTGGAAAGCACTGGATCTTGCATGTAACGAAGCAACAGCCTTCAAATTGTGCAAAGACAGCCAAGCAACATCTGTCCGCCTTGTTCAAGAATGTAGCGAGCCCAGCTTGACAGTTTCATTATGGGCCAATTTAACTTCTTTAGCTTCCTGGTTCGGGCATGACGGATCTTGATCATAGCATTTGAGATCTCGACGGGCAGCGTAAAGTCGGGCGAGGACAGCAGGCGGTGAAGGTTCCGACAGGTGTTGGCATCGGAAGCCCGTGAACATTTCCCCAACTTTTGCAAAGTCGGATCACGTAGCCCTGCAAGGCAAAGGAAGTGGAACTTTAGTCGTCGAAGCAAGCACTCATTTGGAAACATATTGATGCTAGGAAATACCTTATAAAAGCCATATAACAGTTGTAGCCTCGTCGTTCCATCTTCCGATGAGCTTTCTTGGCAAGACGACACGTACGGGCAGCAGAGTCCGCCTCGATTGCAACGGGTTGGGGGGCATCAGCCTTATAACAAACTGAACCTATATATCCTTTAACCCTTCAACTCGTTTAGGCTATGGGTGTCGGGGCCCCGTAATCCCAAGGTATATACTACTTAGTTTATGCATTCCTGTAGGGTACTAATGATCGAAGTTCCAGCTCTGTGCATTGTGATGACATCACATTTGATCCCCTTTGTGCATAAGGTGCATGTATAGAAAGCAACGATGCGTATTTCTACGTGGCCTAATCTATAGCCCACCCTGGGTTAACTAGACAAATCAGACTTGCGAGGGACCCCGGAAGATAGCCCCTCCAGGAGCTCAGCAAGGAAGCCATCATCCTGGTTGTCATCCGGATCGTCAGGACCTGGGCAGTCGGAATTGCATGAGGGAGTACAATTGTGCAGTTCGAAGACTTCGGTCAGTGAGTCAGTGAGCCCCTCACTTGTGTCAAAGCACTCCACATCATGACCTGCGAAAGGGTATAAGTCTAGCATGAATGCGTCGTTTGGCAAAGCTACGAAGACTTGCCATTGCAATGCAACACAGTCAGTATTGCAAAGAGATTGAAACCGCAGAATCTCGCATTTTTTATGCTGCAGCATACAGACACACTCGCTTCACAGAATTGGCCCATGCAGCTAAAACCGCATGTGCTGCACATGCATAGTGCATAAAAGATCAGATCTGGAAATCACAGAGCTCGGAGAGCTGAGAGCATGATCAAAAGCTCCAGTTCTGGATGGCACATATCTAGCATCTCAGCTAACTCTCCGGCGTTTGGCAGGAGCCTTGGCGGCTGCCTTGGCACCCGCTTTGGCGCGTGCTTTGGCCTTTGCCTTGGCTTTTGGCTTCGCTGGGGTGGTAGCCCCACCCTTGATGCTCCTGAGCTTGCGAGGGGTTGGTGATTAAAGTTGTATAGAATGCATAGGCAAGATACTCACAAGGTTGGTCTAGGGTCCATTATATTCTGAAGGCTTGCAAAGAGTTTATAAAGTTTAGTAAGGTGGGGTTGAGGAAAGCAAGCTTGGAGGTCGCCTAGTTTAAATTGCTCTATTGCATATACAGTTTAGGTAGATCCCGATAGTTTGCAGCAAAAGATCCTGGACCGCACAACATAGTTGTTCAGCGCCAGATCGGCTTTGGTGCACTGGATGTAAGTCTCGAGGGATTGCTTCTTGAGCCTAGGACAGACCGAGAGATTAACATACCCTAAGCCAACCTTCCCCGAATCGCCTGGCAAGCTCGTGCTCATTGTCGGTGGTCGCGGCATCGGCCTGGATGTCGGTCAACGTCTTGTAGCAAGCATTCATGTCATTCAAGCAGCTGTCCAAGTTCTTGCACAGCCTAAGATAGGAGGGGCTTCGGCGATTGATCGTACAAGGCCATGTGCATCTAGTCACTAGCACACCAACTGTTTAATTTTGGGAAGCTGCTCGGATGCTTTCGGGGCTGCCTTGCCATTCAGCTTGTCCTGGCTAGACTAGACTGCCATGCAGTCAACCGTCCATATCATGACCCCAGCATATCTCATCTACAGCTAATGAAATAAGAATCTTCCTAATACACCCACAACACTATTCTAAGCAGGGATAGGTCTATCCCCTTAGCTAGCTGTATAAATCCTATGCAAAACCTGTCACGGCCTAACTTGAACCTGTTCCCTATGTAGTCGGGTCCCTATATTTACCTCGAAGCTACATATAGCCTTGTCAGACTTCTGTTGCTAGCATAGGGTTTTCGAGAAGGGGGTTTTCGAGAAGGGAGTTGAATTCCTGGTGCTATCTGGGCAAATTAAAGGAATCCAGAAGGTTTCGATGTAAGTCTGGCGGGCTTTGCTGGGATGTACAATGTCCTCTAGCTAGCAGAACTTGTAGAAAGATTTGTGCCTGTTTCCAAAAATAAGAATCCCATAAGCACATCATTGCAAACCTCTAAACTCAGAAACTTATGAAGCTTCTATATCCCCCGCCCCACACTTTGAAACAGCTCCGAACATCGCGAAACTAAAAGAAACCTGCCATAACTGGGTGATGTAGTGATCGAGCTTTCGGAACTGCAAGCACTGAGTTACTCAGTTACTCATTAATAGAGCTGCATAATTGTATATATACATATATCATTATAAAAAAGACATACAAATATATGTATGTATATATTATTACATGAGTACTGTCTATGCAGACACATATGATTAGTGCATCCACATCATTATATGAGCAAGCTCCTTCACCGACTCAGCCAAGTCAATCTTCTTGCCGAGAACACAGATGTAGGCAGACAGAAGCCCAAGCGGGGAGGAGTTCTGCTGCAGGCTAGGAAAGCACATCCTGGGATGGGTCAGTCTATACATTATCCTGTGTAAATGCGCAAACCAATGAGTTCGGCAGACTTGCTTTCCGAATGTCTGTGTACATGCACAAACCAAGCTAGAGTTCGGGTGGTTTGCTTTCTGAGAGTCTTAAACGAAGCCCCAGCCTGAGCTGTGGCAACGGAATCGTTGGCCTTGTCCCCGGTCCTTGCCACCTGGAATTTGCCCAGGTCCTCGCTGCCCGGCTGCAGCAATGCACAGTTCGGGTCCTGGGCTCAGCACAATCCACGCTGAAGAAGGCATAGCGAGAGACAAGTGAGTGAGCGCGTGGGCCACCGAGAGATGGAGAGGAGAAGAGAGAGAGAGAGAGAGAGAGAGAGACAGAGAGAGAGAGAGAGACAGAGAGGAAATGAGGAAGTTTTCCACCTCTATATGACTAGGCACATCCATGCTGAATGAGCTCGTGAACCCGGTCTTTTGCCCTGATTCATTGCTATTCTCCCATGACCACTCCAAGGGAATATCAGCCTCCTCGGCCCCATGAATCTCCGACTTGAAGAGCCTCCCATTCCGTCTCGCCCACTCAAAGGCATTGTCCGCCATGGTCCTGATGCAGCAGAACATCATGGAAGGCAGCTTTGTGGGATGCTATAGATGTGTTGCTCTTCATGAAATTAAAAACCTCTAATGCGGGAAGGGAGCTGGGTATAGAACCTCTTCTGCACAAGCCACTCCTTTGTTACAAGGCCCCCCTTCTCCGCGGATTTCTTCTTCTGCAAATGCCACTTCTCCAGGACCCCCTCTACCTTCTGAAACGTCCCATGGTCCAGCAGCAGCTTCCGAAGCTGCTCGCCTAAGGTAGCCACGACTTAACATATAATATTGATTATGTTGATGTGAAGGCACTCCAATCATTCGAAGAATCGTCCGTCCGTGGTCTTTCCCATTTCGAGAATATGTGGGCTGCACTTTAGCTCACCCTTCGAGTTGGGCTGAAAGTGGCGGCGAACCCTTAGTTCATGCATGCGCTTCATAGATAGTTTGCACAAGCTGTAACAACTGCAACTGTACGAATTGGACAAGTAGCTTCCAGTAGCCGTCGGGCTTGGGAGTGGCTGCTGCTTTCTTCTTGGGAGATACCCTTCGAAGGCTAGGGAACAGCTGCCTTCGAACATTCGGTTTGCCGTTGCTTGGGGGCGGGTGCTGCTGGTCTCCATTGGCCTTTGGTGGGCTGTCACCAACCTCGATAGACAAAGTCTCCCTGGTTTCCGGGGCCTTGCGAGGGGTTGAAGCAATCTCGGTGGGCTCCGTGGTGACAGTCTTTTCGGGGCTGTACTTCGAGGATTGCTGCAGCATGCGGACGGTGTGGGATCGGTGTAGATCCCCAAGCGGGGCTTTCATGTTCCCAGGCACAAACTGACCACTGGCAGAAGCCATCGTGGGAGCACCTGCCGGAAAGGAACTGGTATGTGTGAGGTGATAACTACATGCAAGTATTATCGGAATCAGTGTGTCACATGCCTGGCACAACAGCAGGAACCGGGTTGGGCTCAGAAGCAGCTAGCTGCTTCTGAAGGTGCTCCAGGTTGGCTTGTGCTTCCTTAAGTGGGAAGAAGGAAAACCATGTTGATGTTAGAGGAGCGAGATGTAACAATCTGAGAAAGCCAATGCAATTGAAGAGCTTTGATGTGCTCATCCAACTCAGTGTCCGGGATCTCGGACATGTTGGTCCAGGATCGGGCCATCAGTACGACACCGTCGCTCAGGGTGTCTAAAGAGGCTAAAGAGGCCATGCTATGAAATCAATCTGTAATCAAAACATCAAGCAGGCAGGTAGCTGCAGCACATGTTAATTGTCTACACACGACAGCATTCAGCAAACACCCGGAGAGTGATCGGGGCCCAGAGAAGCAATGGTCTTTCGCTATCCTCGGAAGATACACTATATGTAGTATTTCACCCAAACCCTTCACCCTCAAGCTGCCTAGTGTACATCAAGCAAAAGCAAGCTGAGAAAGAGTACGAGAAGCAAAAAGCGCGCGTGCAACCCAAAAAAGGTGCGTGATTTAACGGTGCACATACGTTTTTTTGAATTGCGCGCGAGTTGCGGGGAATTGCGCGCGAGTTGCGGGAAATTGCGCGTGAGTTGCGGTCGAAATTGTCTGGCCGACAGTGCTCAAAACAAAAAGCGCGCGTGCAACCTAAAAAACGTGCGTGACCTTTAACCTCTCTACACCTACCCGACCTACCCTGTAGGAGCTCCCTGTTTCCTGCAGGCTTCGAAGACGGAGCTGCCTCTACCGACCGGCTGGAGCCCTGTGCTCTCACGACCCAGTCCTGCCCATACATAGGGAATTGTACTCCTCCCTGAGGTCCCCGTAGCAGTTCACCTTTGCAGGTCGTTGCAAGCCCTGGGTATTTTCGGTTTCTAGTCAGAAGACGATTCAAAGAAACATATCGCGATCCCAAGACACCTTGGCATCCAGCTCTGTTTCAAAAGAACTGATTGCATCTTCCCAACAAGAAGGTATCACGAGGTACTTGTTCTTTCTCAAGTAGTAATAAACTGAGGGCAGTTCTGCATCTTCCCACATATCCTTCATTGGCAGGGTGGCAAATAACTCCACATCGGAGAAGTCGGGGTTGGTGGCATTCTTGTTGCGTAAGCAGCCCAATGCTTCAGGTACACAGTCCGTAGCAAAGGCTTCGAATAGTTGTTTCACAAATTCCATCGGGTAGACCCTTAGCAGATCGGTCAAGTTTCGGGCTATTGGGGTTTGTAGGATTGAGGCAGGGGTTAGAGGGCCAGCTAGTGTTTACAAAGGTTTACTAGTTGGCTTTGTTAAGGTGCGGCTCTAGGCCTTCTATATTGTAGTAGGGAAGACTGAGGGTGTACCAGGGTTTTGTGTCACAAAGCTTGTCGACTTATTAAGGATCCAGGGCACTATTGCTTCTGGACCTATTGAAGCCCCTACTGTCCTGGTTATTACAGAATAAATGGCTAGCGGGGAAGTTATGATATCAATCTAGTTACGAATCTAGTTGGGTTAGGAAGTTGTTCGTGTGGATTTCACAGAATCGTGAGGGAACAGGGCTTGTCTATTTTGGAACAGTTACCGATCTTGTGGGAGCCTAGGATGCTACGAAGATAGTAGATTTGCTTACAGACTGTGGGTTTTTGTAGTGCACCCAAATCTTGCATAGGTAGGTTCACAACCAATTGGGAATACAAGCACTTCTGGTGTTCATACGGTAGCTAGAAACTGGAGCCTTTGTGGCCTGCGTCTGAACCATAACATGCATGGCCGAAGCTGCTCTGGAAGACATGCAGCAGCAACTGGAAACGATATGGCAGGACTTGAAGTCGACTCGCAACGAGGCGATACGACAGTTGCTTCAGACTGAAGATTACCAGGCGTACAATGCGGCACGGCCCCGCTAATTGACCCTGGCCTTCAGAGCCCCTGACTCCGAACGCGAATCAAGTCATCAGCAAACAGCTGTGGGCAACCGTGGATCGAAGCCCTGGTGGTCGTGATCATGCATATGACCACTTCAGACAGTTGCAATCCCCGGGCACACCCCAGAACCCAGCCACCTAAAGGGTTTGTGTTTTCAGGACGACCCCGTAGCCTATATTTTGCAGGCAGTTCTCATTGCTATTGAGGGGTTGTAGGGTTGTAGTATAGTAGCAGCAGCAACAGCCAGAGTAGTAGAAGCAGTCGTGCTAGTGGCAGCGTAGTAGATCTTCTCAGACCAGTATTATACATAAAACCACAATGGTTCCCCTCCTGCAATAGGGCAGGTCTTTAATAAGGTTACTAGGGTTATAGGCGTTCAGGGCTTATATATATATATAAGGTCTATATAGGTTTATATAGGGTTATAGGCGTTCAGGGCTTATAGGGTCTATATTGGGGTATAGGCGTTGAGGGCTTATCGAGCAAACTAATATATAGTTCATGTATAGCCGAGCAACCCGGCATCCTTCAGGCTCGTCGTACCAGCGAAGCGCTCGGTGCCGTCGGATTCCTTCCACCGTCCTTTGGCAGCAAGGACAGACTATTGCGGCACTACATGCAACCCCGAAACTTTTGGCTAGGACCTCTGCGAATTATATATTGCTTGCAGCTGAAGATCGAGTAGTGCGGATTTTCGTCTTCACTTGTTTCAGGTTTTTCTTGAGCACACCACGGTCCAGGGTCTGCACCCGGGGTGAATTGGAGTAGATCTTGGTGCGCTTGGGACTAGGGCTGCCCCAATGCATCAGCCAGAAGGCCTGGCTGTATACCTTCGACCAATATATGATTCGAACTAGCATGATAACTATCTAGGAGAAAGAATGCTACTCGATGCATGACCAAGCTGCATAGAGTACAGAATTGACGAGCCATTCAAAGCGGCCGTGTTTGTGCAGGAGCGAACAGGAAGGGTGTTCCAATATCCATGTAGTGTGCATAGCCGTCATCACCAGTATTGCCAGAACAACACTTAGATGAATTCTGATCAAGTGACAAACTCTTCTGTGTTCATGAAGTAAGCACGATACACTCACATACTTGCAGCTAGAGAGTCCGGCTGATCATCATGTTCGCTTTCGACACGCTCTGAAAGGCATCCTGACCCCGGAAGTTGATGAAGGATCTAAGACTTGTGCCCCTGTTCGGAACACCCCAGGAGGAACAATCCGGGCCCATCAAATTCACAGACGTCTTCTTCTCACGTGTGATACACCATAGCACCAGCCTCGGACTGCATGGAACCCACTGGATCGAGCATCCTTGCACATTGCAATTATCCTGATCCCAGGCTTGACCAAGCTGCACAAAACCGGCATCGGAAAGGAAGTCCATGGAGGCACTCCGATTAATCTCAATGGTCGCGACTCTCTTTCCCTTGGACTTCCTGGGTAGTATAGGAATTAAGGGACACCCCTGAAACATATAGGCCTTAATCTGAAACCCCTAGTGTATAGTTTATAGTGACCGCCTGCATAAACCATCTTAGCATACCACACCAAGAAGACTGAAACCACTGCCCAGGCTCCAATATTTGCTGGCATTACCGACCCCGGAAAATAGGTCCAAAAGATGAAAAGATTTGGCCTGCGGTAGATTCGTCGACCAGATCACCAGCAGCATCACAGCTATGAGTACCTAGGCGAACAGCAGAAAGGGAGGCCAGGCTTAATTGAGTTTATCTCACTGTTCATATATGTATATAGTTAGACCCTAGCTATATAGAGTAGCCTCCATACATCCATCCAAGAAACCTTTGGAGCTCCAACATGAATGAGCCGAACGAGCAAAGACGAGTCTGGCATCCCACGAGAATCCATTGCGCCAGTTAGACTTTGGGCTTACCACAATTTGTTAGAAATGGGATTAGGGCAAGCTGCAGGTGCCTTTTGCAGACTTATTGGGATCCCAACGTGAGCTTGCATGTGGGCTGCTCTGAAGCCACAAACACACTGCCGACAGCACATCTGAAACACGGACCAAAGCAACGAAGCACGGGAAAGGGTCGGGGCAGCCTTGTGCAGCTGCACGGCGCGCCACCCCAGCCATGGTTCACCTGTAGCAGTTGGGAGGGCAGTCGGTTGTATAGAATTTTTCAGCTACATCGGTACTTGCCATAGTGGGTGATAGTGTGAAACGGGTTCGACAAGCTGGTATAGTTAATTGTATGCTATTAAAGTATATAAGTACATAGCCACATCTCACTGGCAGTCCCTGGCCTCCACATCGAAGTACTCGTCGACGGCAGCCGGGGCAGCCTGGGAGCCAAGTGGAGGCCGGGAATCGGAGCTCTGGGAATACACATAGGATGGGCCTTCAGAGGCATTGCTCAGGGTGAAGACGAATGGAAGCCCAGGGTCCAGAGATCCTGCCCAGATTGCATGGGTTTACATTGCATTGGTTTTCTGGTATTTCATTAAGGTACACATAATCCCAATCAGATTGCCGTCCTTGTCGTGACGGGTCGAAAGAAGCTTCCCCACCACATCCATGAAAGACCTGGCAAGGACAGTGTAGTGGGATCATGAGAAAAGTGCTTATACGGATGCCCGGTGAATGCACAGCACTGTATGTAGCGGAGCTTTGGGAAGTTTTGCACCGATCGCACTCAGCCGTCGTGAAGCTTTCAGTCACTCAGGCTAACATTGGGTTGGCCGAAAGCATTACCCCGCGCTAGCAGCACTCCCAAGTACGTAGCTCAGACCTACCGCACTGAATAAAGCCAGTGAAAACAGATGATCATCCGCCACCAGCTTCCGCTTGTACACAACGGATTCAATCTTGCTCAGCATAAGCCTCAGGTTGCAACAAAGCTCCCAAGATGCAGAGATATAATGCCTATATGCATGAGAGACCTAACACCGACATGCACACACACACATGCACCCATACAGATCATTCTTTCTCACTCTCTATCTCCCTCTCTCTCTCTCTCTCTCTTTGTTTCTCTCTCCTCTCTCTCTCTTGTTGATTTCCTTTCTTCTAATATATTAAACCAAGTGACCTTCTTGGCCTCAGTGACTGCCTCCTCAAGCGAAAGCCCATTTTTCAAAGCAGTTGCCTTTGCATTGTGGTAAGCACAACTCTTTCGGCTCTTCAAGCCGGCGTCCTGCGAAGCCCCACCCTTTTTGTTCCCACCCTTGCGACCTGCACGATCCTTGGGGGCAGGGGCCGCCTTTGCTTTGCTGCTGGCTTTTGCTTTTGCTTTTGCTTTTGCTTTGGCTTTTGCTGTAGCTTTGGCTTTGGCTTTGACAAGGGGCTCCGGGGAATAACACTTCGTCTCCTGGCTGCAGCCCTCTTCGACATCTGCTGCTTTGCGCTTCTTGTTTGCTTTGTTCTTCGGGGTCCGGGCTTTCTTGGGGCTTGGCTCGGAAGCTGCTTTGGCCTTGGCCTTTGGCTGGACTTCGTTCTTTCTTGGGCGACCGGGTTTTCTCTTTGGCTGAGCCTCGGTTTCATCCTTCTTAGCTGGTCTCGTGGCTTTCGGGCTGGTCTCAAACGGCTCATCCTTTTTCGCATCGGCTGCCTTCCTGCCTGCCTTCTTGCTCAACTTGGTCTGGTCACCTGGGGCCACAACACCAGCTGCGCTCAAGAGGGCAGGTCGCGGCATCTCATCATCGGGTTCCTTCGCATCTGCTGGGCTTGAGGCCAAGAGGGCAGGTCCAGGCATCTCAACACCGGCATGCTTTGCATCTGCTGGGCTTGAAGCCAAGAGGGCAGGTCCAGGCATCTCATCATCGGCAGGCTTTGGGTCTGCTGGGCTTGAGGCCTTACTGGGATCATCATTGGCAGTCTTGCTGCCACCTCCGGACACTGCAGCATGGGAGCCTTCCTTAGACTCCAGGAGGGCTTCATCTGGACCCTCAGCCTCGGAGCCTTTTGCAGACTCCACGGCAGCAGCTAACCCTGCACAATGATCCTCAGGCTCAGGGACCTCCGGAGCATCCTGCAATTCCTCTTTGACCCCATGCTCCATCTTGATAGATACCTCCAAAGGCTCTTTCTTGATTGGCACCGGAACAAAAGGCTTGCTTGGCGGTTTTTCCACGGACTTGCTTGGCTCCTCTGGTTCTTTCTTGATTGGCACCGGATGTACCAAAGGCTTGCTTGGTGGTTTTTCCAAAGACTTGCTGGGCTTCTCTGGGGCCGGCTCTTGCTTGATCGCTACAGCATCACATCTTGCTGCTTTCGGGCTTGGCTCCCATACAACGGTCTCAGTCCGGAGTCGCTTCGGACCCAATGGCGCGGCCTTGCCCTCGAACACATGAGCAGCAACAGCCGCCTTCTCCTTCTGCGCAACATCTATCCCCATGGCAGCCACAGCAGCCTCCATACTGGACTCATCCAGTACTTGAGTCTCCTGCGTAGTCACATTACCTGATAGCACAAGACAGGAAGCCAAACTCGTGATGGGAAATCAGTACAACTCTCGACAACAAGCTGCATACAGGCTACCACTCGGTGAAGCCTTGAGCTTATCATTCTCCCGCTGCTGCTTTGCCAAAACCAACCGAGTCAACAGCTGCTGCTGCTCGGTCAAGGCTTGCAAAATTTCACGCTTGCTGGGGGCAGGCAACTTCACGACTGATTCAGGCGACTTCCCATCGCCTGGCACATGCTTCGGTGTGATCACTGTCGCCGTCGACGGCACCGATGGGATGCTTCCTGGGATCAAAGATGCATGGGCCAATCCAGTACACTCTTTACAAGCAAGTCTCATGCAAGTGAACCCCATCAATGAATGCAAAGCTTCTTGGAGAGGGATCCTCCAAAGGATTTTGACACTTCTCTTCGACGGCTAAAGGAGACAGTTCTGGAAGCTCAGGGGGCTCGCAAACATCATCGTCAGTTCCTGCTTCCGACTCAACCGCCTCGTCATAGCCAACCTGTCGCATCCCCGGCACTACGATACCCATACGGCTCAAACAAACCCCACCTCTTCAGATCCATTCTCCGGGTCCAGGGCTTCGTTGGATCGTGGCTGCCGTCCTGGGGTGGGATGGTTGTGCTGCTGGGAAATGGTGAAACCTTCTGTAGTATGTTAAATTGCAGACAAAGTACCAGGCGGAATGGGTATGCCCAAATGGGTGTAGATCTTCCGAATGTTCTCTTCGTTCGGGCGGTGGGGAAGCTTGCATATCCGGTTGAACATAGATACCAAGTTTCGAACTCGCCAGGCTTGTGTACGACAAAAGTCGCCTCGGTGATCACAAACTTTAGGCAGAAGTTTATGCACAAACCTCCTTATAACTATTGCAGCCTAGTAACTGCTGACTGGCTTCTTGCCCTTCTGCCGGCAACGCTGAAAGAACAGATCTACATCCTCCTGTAGTTGATCTACACCAGGACGTGCTCCCATGTGCTCCATTGTTATCGCGACAATATTCCAATTGAAGTCCAAGTCGGCCCTGGTGAGCACGCCAGGTGCAACAATCAAACGTCCACCTGCGCCTCGTTCCGAAACGCCCTCGAGCTTGAACCAATCAACACTCAAGCCGGTTTTTGGCAGGTCCACGTCGCTGCTCGACATCGCTGAGCAAAATCGAATCTTGTTGTTTATGATCTCTTGCAAAGCGAAACTGTCTTACTGCAGTCATGCTTCGCATGTATGCATGCATGTAGTCGTACCGATATGCACAACATCCCTCTCTACACATTGTGCGGAAGCCCAGGCTGCACCATGATGCCACACTCACATCGAAGCCATGCAAACAAGAGAGCGCACAAGAGAGAGAGTGAGAGAGTGATAAAATCAGCATACCCAAAACCAGCATAAACCAGCCGGGGCCGCCTCCGCAACGATGACCCGACAGCCCCTGCCAGGAAACCATATGCACTTCTACCGGGACACGAACTTCTTCTTCATCTTGCCTATCTATTCTGTATTGCTACATAATTATGTATCTATATCATGAATGTGTATGTATATATATAGTGTGCATATTATATATATATATATATATATATATATATATATATATATATATACTAACCCAGACCGTTTGCGTAGGCATGTGTATGTCACAGGTATGTGCTGGATAATATTTAATTTATATATATATATATATATATATATATATATATGTATGTATGTATATGTATGTATATGTGTATACATATAGCATACATGTAAATTATACTATATATACATATATTACATATACATATATATATATATATATATATATATATATATATATGTGTAAAGCACTTGAAGACTGGCCCGGCCTCAGCAAAGGGCCATCCTTGTCCAGCTCGAGCATGAACTTTGGCGATCAGGTATGTCGAGAAGGATTTACGCGTGACATATTTATTTCCGTGTGTGATTATTGAAAACCAGGATTTCTATACGTGATCCCCCAAACCTTGGAAAAAAGCAATACACACTTAAATAAACATGCGTTTGGTGTTCTAGGCTTAATTAGGGACTACATTCAGGCCATGTATGTACTATATGAGTACATGGACCCAGGCGACAACACCGCGAGGGCATGCCTCAGACCGAAACCCCCCAGAAAGTCCCCTGAAGCCTAAACCGGTGTAGGGTAACCCTGGATCGCCTGGGTACTTGGCTCCGTCGGAGCAGTTCGAACCGCGGTGCGCGGTGTAGTGCCCTCCTCGACGGTTGGGGTGCCTGCCCTCTTAGGCTTTGGACTCTACCTAGAGGGTCATACCCTACCAAATTTTAAGGTACGGTACCTAGGTTTTATGCTCAGGATCTGCTATATAACCTCTATACAGAAAGGCAAGTACAACAAAAAGGGGGTAGTGTATGATGCGTAAGGGGTCCCAAGTCCATATAATATAGAAGGCTCGTAGAATGTAGGGTTTCTGTCTTAGGAGTTACCAGTATGATTTGGGGAAGTCTTTTCCATGAATACCCTGCGGGGGACCGAAATGGTACCGTGAAGACATTCTGACTTTGGGTTTGTGGTGTGGATGTTCTTGGCAGAGTCGGGTCGTTTGTTGCGGGTTTTGCGCGCAATTAGGGTTTAGGGTTTAAGGCTTGTAGGGTTTAGGGGTTGTAGGTGCAGGGTTTACAGTTTACAGGTTTTTAGGGCTTAGGGCATGGACCCTTGTAACCCCTCTGTAGCTATCTCCTAGAGCCATTGGGTCTCTTCAAAGGGAAAGCCTCCCTCCTAAACCCTCACTAACCATTGATGTTGGAGGAGCTAAGGAGCCAGGGATGATGATAATCGCTATTAAATAGGGAGCTAAAGAGCCAAGGGAGCCCCAAAACCACTGGTCAGCTAAACCCTAAACTCTGACGCAGCAATACATGAGCAGGAGCAGCCACGAAACGCGAACTAAGGCCAGACCCCTGGTCAAAGCTCTTTTTGGCAGCTACAGAACACGCCACAGCACGTGGGATGCAGGTTTGGGGCTAGGACTTATAGGGAGGGAAAGTTAAGGTCTGTAGGAGCTAGTGTAGAATGTCTGAAAGGGGTGTCAAAGTTTTTGCAACTGCCCACAATGTCCTCACTCCTCACACCTATAAAGTAAAAGCCAGAAACTTGGAATATGATTATCCTAACCCTTCTATGGTAAATTATAGGGTATCCTACCATGAAACCATATTCCAACTTTCTGGAGTTCCCTGTAAGCAAACCCTCCTGACCTTGCAAACGGGGCAGATAAGACATGGGCAGCAGGTGGCCTGATCCGGATCCTATGTAGTAGAAACTCTGCACATAAGGACACGCCTGACAAGACCCCTTCCAATGTGAGGAGCAACATAATGCAAGGGCCTTCAGAGTTAGAATGGCATTTTGGGGTATATCATTATGTGACTTTTTCAAGGAGCCCTGTACAATAATTTAGAGAATCACTCAGGCTTCTACATTAGCTCGAGCAGGTCCGTCCTGAGCAAGATGCGCTGCTGGCGCCATGGAGGGCCAGTAGCGGCATGCCTCGACAGAAAAAACCGAGAAACCAGTGAACACTCCCAATTCCTGCACCTAGAAGGTTTAGATTTTAGTGTTTTCCTAAAACCCTTAACCCTAAACCCCATAACCCATATAACCGATATGAGAGCTTGCAGGCAAGTTCTCATTGGCTGGACATATCTAACACATGGAACTCTTCAGGGAACAAAACCTATCCCAAAGTTTCGGTTTTGGCACTTCAGTCGATTTTGTGGAGGTGGCCAAGATTCCTATGCATGCACCAACTTCTTTTGGCTTCCATCGACATCCCTATGCAACTTGCACAGCCCTCAACAAAATAGCTGTGACATCTCCAAGCTCAACGACATGACCTCAGCAACCGGCCTCAGCCGGTCGGGAAGACGGTGCAGTTGGAGGTCGTGAGGTGCTGCAGACGGAAGGGCAAGCCTCTTCTTGTCGTCAAGTCTTCTGGGCGAGGGTCACAGCGGAGGCTGAAGAGCTCGAAAGCTTAGGGGTTAGGGGCTTAGGGGTTTGGGGCTTTAGGGTTTTAGGGTCTAGGTTTCCATGTTAGGGGTCGTAATAATTAGAATCGGGTTTTGGGCTACAGGATGCTATGAATAAGGAACCCACCAATATTCGTCAAGGCCCCTACAGCACGTAAACTCACCCAGCGAACCTGTTCTCCGACGCCCCAGTACTGTCTGGTTCTTAGTAGGGAATGGGGGAATGGATCCCTGTAGTAGCCCCTATATAATCCCCAATAATAGTCTCCATAATCCATTCCCTTAGAGGAACCCCGAAAGGAACCCTTATAGTAACCCTTATTGTTAATGCCCGGTAGTGAGTGTGCGAAGAAGTAATTAGCAACATATGTAAAGATGCAAGTTTTTGTCTGTGTGGCAGGGAAGGCTGCGGTTCGAGACCCTTGGGCCACGTTGAGAGCAGGCTGCCATGATCGGCAGAAGCCAGCAACACCACAGTCAGCTGTAAGTTCTGACGCATAGTTCAATCAGACGAATGCTATAAAGCATGTTCGCTGAGAGCTAACAACCTTTGTGTTGCGCGGAAAAACAACAGTGCAACTGTGCGGGCTGCGCCATGGCCGTTTCTGCTGGTGACATAAGTCCCGTTCCTCAGGTTATGAGCGCCCAACCGGGTGCTGCGCAGCCGCTAGTGAACGGTGTTCCGGGGAGCCCGAGACGGGTGGAGGCGGAAACCGCAGCGGAAGGGTCGGGTCCATCCTTGTCGGGTGGATCCGACCAACCGCAGTATGTTACAGAAGTTGTGGCGGAGGGTGAAAAAGGTGATGGAGACGCTAATGGAGCGCCGGGTCTGTCATCCACGCAAGCAGCTGCAACTATGAATGAAGATGTTCCTATGGGAAGCCGAACTGCCGCTTCTGGCATGACTGGAGATCCGGGACTACAGGCCCGTGCAGACACGTCCGACCAAGTGGGACCACGCAGGGAGATGTCAGCTGGTTTTCAGAATGCGCAGGTGGATGCAGAGCTTCCTGGAGATGCCACGCAAGATGGCGTCCGTGGGATGTTTCATACCCCTCGGTCTTCTCGTTCAAGGGTGAGTGGATCGCGGAGTATGCGCCAAGGCCAAACTGGAGCTTGGCCAGGCTGGGTGACGCGCTTGGGAGAAATGTTCAAGGCGCCTCCTGCACAATGGCTGCCGAGCCCACTGCCATCACCGCCGAGACCGAGATTGCAGACGGACCTTACCCAAGGCACGCCAGCTGGGCGAACTGCGGCTATGGGAGCTACTGGTGTGGCAGGTCCCTGGAGAACCGTGGCTGGTGATGAAATTAGGGGTCTAGGGTTGCTAGGGCCTAATCAACATAGTACCCCGAGCAGCAGCAGCGTACCAGCAGAAGCGATACAGGCGGAGGTGCAGAGACAATTGGGGAGTCTTTTGGACAGGCTACAGCAAGCTGAAGCGGAGAATCAGCGACTTCAGGATCAGCTCTATCGTGCTCGCGGCGATCCGGAGGTACCTCAAGGCAATAGCAACCAGGGACTACCTCAAGGCAATAGCAACCAAGGACTACCCCAAGGCAATAGCAACCAAGGACTACCCCAAGGCAATAGCAGCCAAGGACTACCCCAAGGCAATAGCAGCCAGGGACTACCTCGGGGCAATAGCAATCCAGGACTACCGCAGGGTGATCATAGCCAGGGAGTATGTCAAGGAGATAGCAATCGGGGACTATTTCAGGGTGATGGTCTCAGAGATAATCTACCTCAAGCAAGTCTAGGACCCGCGCAGCTACGATCTACAGTTCCGGATAGCGATCCTGTGATTCGAGAGCAAGCTAGGACCAACCCTTGGAGGGATCCGCTGGGAGCGTTGTGGGAAGAGCTTACCTCAGGGAGAACAGGGCAGGGGTCTGCAATCCGCTCACAGGGCCCGATCCAGATCGACCAGGCTGCGACTTCGGGAACAGATGCTGCATCAACCAATGCTATCCTCGAAGCTCTTACTAGAAATCTTGCGGGACTACAAGCACTTCAGGAGAAAACCTTAAAGAAGGACTTGGATGCCGATGAGTCACCTGAGCAAGTGAAGAGCACTACGGTAGCTTTGCCAATCCTACCCAGTCCTGAAGGTTCAGCTATGGGAATACTCCTACAAGACTGGCTGGCCCAAGTAGCAGTGCCGATGCAGGACCTGTCAGCGTCGTCGGGAACATGGTGGTCACAGGTTTTGGAGCTGGTGCAGACCACTTATGCTGCGTGGTTGGCGTCGTCGCCCCTGGAGCGCTTGCAGATGGAGCCGAAGGATCATGGGGCTCTCACCACGGGCCGCTGGACACGGGTGAATGCCAGAGCGTGTTCGCTCATTCTTCAGTCCCTCCCGGAGACGGTGAAGTTGGACCTTATCGCACGAAGGGTGGTTCAAAGCTCGCCCCTAGTGCTCTTCAGACTTCACACAACTTATCAACCCGGGGGTGCGTCAGAGCGCTCTACAGTACTGGGCAACCTTCAGAATGCGGTGCAGTTCGAAACTATCGATGAGTGCTTGGCCTGGTTGAGGGCTTGGCCGAGGTGGATTCAGAGATGTCGTGACCTACGGATGATGGCACCTGATGGCTCAGTTCTCGCTAAGGCCTTAACTACCTCTACAGCTCGCTTTGTTGCCGACAACTCCGATACGCAATTTCGTACTCAACTTTTGCGGTCGAGTTTGCGTATTGATTCTCAACCGTCCCAGGCGGACGTGGCCCGATACCAGCAACACTTGCAGGCGGAGATCGAAGCGCTGATCGCAGCAAGGCCGGGTCAACTGGGAGCAATGCCAAGGATCAAGAGTCTCGGCACTACATCTACTTCTACCTCACCTACGGCTCAGGGTCAGGGAACCAGTGCTGGAGGAGGGGGAAAAGGCTCGTGTAAGTATTTCTTTCGTCCTGGAGGGTGTCGTCGTGCTGCCAAATGTCCGTACAGCCATGACATGAGTCACCTTTCAAGAGCTGATCGTGCTAAAAAATGCCTACTATGTGGAGGTGAAGATCACAGGCAAAAGGATTGCCCCAGCAAGGTCGCGCGACCGGGCCCAAAGCAGACACCGCAAGGCAGCGGTGGCGCAGGTGGAGGAGCATCTACACAGCTCCCCAGTGTCCCAAGAGCTCCTGCTGTTAATCGGTGTGAACCTGAAGGTGAAGTTTCTCCCTCGGCGGCTACTACCACAGGGGTGATTCCTGGGGAGCCGGTTTGGACCCTTGAGTCTCTTCTGCAAGCAGCGGCAAAGGTGGCCGGAGCAAAGCCGCCGGAAGGACCCTCGATCAATGTGGTCTCTTTGCGCTCAAGCTGTACATTGCAGGGAGATGGAGAAGCGTTTGCCTTGGTAGACTCAAAAGCAACACACGCCCTACGCAGAGCAAGGACGCAGGAGGAGTGGGATGGCTCGAGCCCCGTGGTTGTGAACTTGGCCGGAGGCGAGTCAGTGAGCCTTCGCATGAACCAGGCTGGGACCATCTTGGTGCCGCTATCTGCGACTACGGCCTCGAGCTCTACTACGCCAATCGTGCCGTTGGGTGCGCTGGTCGGGCAATTGGGGTACACAATGACTTGGAGTAGTAATCGTTGCAAGCTAGAAGGACGAGGAGGAGATGTGTACAATCTTCGAGTCCGGGAAGGATGCCCTGAAATCGCTGAACATGATGCACTACGGTTAATTTCTCGTTTGGAGGATGAGAATCTGGAGTCCTTGAAGGCCAATACCACTGCTACGAGACGTCGGGTGAAGGCAGCGGCGCTCTCCATGGAGCGGTCGTGGTTCGACTACCTGTTGTCGTATGTGGATGGTGAGATGGCTTCAGAGGCATTGAAAGCGGTTGAATCGGCGCCCTTCCTTCAGGAAGTGCCTCGCCAGTGCAAGGCTGGCCTCGTGGAGCCTTTTCCAGAGGCTAATGGCTGGAGTGCTCTTAAAGGCTTGGAGCACCTCAACCGGCGAACCCGAAAGCGACTGTGGAGCTCGGACAAGTGGTTGGTTCACCTGTTCTCGGGGAAAAAGGAGCGGAAAGACCTTCACCACCTCGAGGCCCACGGTTACACGATCCTGGAGCTTGACATTGAGCGGGGCCGAACTCATGATTTGCTGAAGACGGCTACGTGGAGGGCGATCGAGTTTGGAGCGCGAAAGGGAAAGATTGCCGGGATCATCGGGGGCCCACCGCAAAGCTCTTTTATGATTTCACGACATGTGGTTGGAGGTCCAGAACCGGTTCATTCCAATGCAGCTATGTACGGCAATTGGCCGGGACAGTCCCATGCGGATGCGTGGCTGGCTGATCGTGAAACACAGTTGCTGACGCGAATGATCTACTTGCATGCGTTGGCAACAGCAGGAAGGATGAGGGCGAGTTCCAGTCCGGATGCGGTTAAAAATGTGGCTTTTATGCTAGAGCATCCTCGGGATCCACGTGGCTACCTGAAGTACCAGGATCCCCTATACAATGACGTTGTGAGCTTCTGGAGAACGCCACTGTGGACAGAGTATGCTTTGGAGGCTGGATTCAATTCCTACCACTTCGATATGGCAGCGTTTGGAAAGGCTTTCACCCGACACACCACGATCGGCACCAACCTGCCCCTCAAGCACTTGAATGGGCTCCGAGCGAAATGGCGTTCAGATGATCAGGCACCGGAGCGATCGCCCCCAAGCGTGTGGACCTCGGAGTTCTATGAGCAGGTGGTTCTGGCGTTACGGACCTGGGGGGCAGTTCCAAAGATGATTCGTATGAGTGCGGATCAGTGGCGGGAACACGTCCGACGGGGCCATTTACCCTTTCGCTCCGATTGTGCTGTGTGTGTTCAGGCTGGAGCAACGGGGAGGCGGCATGCAAGGATTGAGCATCCCAGTGCCTATGCGTTGTCAGCGGACCTAGCCGGGCCAGTGAAGATTGGAGGAGTGGATCCAGATGGAAGGGGAGCTTTCCCAAAGCAGTTCAAGTACATTTTTGTGGCAAAGCTCAAGGTTCCCAGAACCTTTGTAGAAGATGGACGTGGAGTTTGGGTTGAGTACGACGACGGGGAGCTGGCGCCGGATAAGTATGATGAGGTTGATGACGGCTTGGAGGTGGAGCCTAAACCTGCCAAGGAAGCGATTCGGCCTGAGGGGCTGGATGATGATGCAGACCCTGATCATACAGAAGGGCCAGCAGCGAAGCGAGATCCTGAAGACGATCTTGACCTTGCTGCCCCAGAGCTTGTCAATCTTATCTTCACGGCCGCGTTGAAAGATGATAAGGCGCCCACGGTCCTAGAGGCAATCCAGGATGTGGTCCTCTACTGCCAGTCCCTCAACATCCCTGTGCTCCGTTTCCATTCCGACCGAGGTATGGAGTTTCAAGCTAGAGCTTCGAAGCAGTGGCTTAAGAACCAAGGGATACGAGTGACATCGTCGGAAGCAGGTGCGCATCAAACCAATGGTTCTGCAGAGGCGACGGTCAGATGGGCCAAACAGCGAGTGAGGGCATTACTTTTGTCTGCCAAGCTTCCTCAGAAATTGTGGCCTATGGCGTTGACTACAGCGGCCACTATGCAGCGAGCTGATGTGTTGGGATTCGAACCACTTCTGGCAGCGCCCTTCGGTGCTAAAGTCATGGTGAAGAAGAGACAGCTGGAAGGACCAAAGCTGGATGATTTGGCACCAAAGTGGCTTCAAGGGACCTATGTGGGTAGATCCGAGAGTTTGCGCAGAGGGCACCTTGTTTATGTCAGTGATGAGGACGGAGAGAAGTTTGTGCACACGCTACATGTTCGAAGCGCTTTGCATGATCCTGGACCAGTTGAAGAAGAGTTCGTTGCCGAAGAGCCAACAGGACCTAGTGTGCGAGTTCGGGGAAAGTCAAGTGGCAGTGGAGATGTTGTGGGTGTTGCCAAGGCCATCGTCCTGGACGAGGCGGAGTACCAAGCTAGAGCTGAGACGGTTCTACAAGTGTGGTCCCAGGAGGAGGCGGAGGTGATTGTGAAGCAAATGGCGTCGTCTCTACCTCCTTCGGAGTGCGTGTACGGGATGTTTCGCTATGGTGGAAAGACTGGAGTGACGAAGGCTACGATAGAAAGGCCGTGGTTTGCGAAGTTGCTCCTGAAGCTCCTTCTGGACAAGGCCCCGGATGCGGAGTTTGCGGCATTGTTTGTATCCGTGCGAAACGACAAGGAGGTGCATATCGACCGCAACAATGCCATGGGGACGCTCAACTATCTACTTCCGCTCATAATGCCACGTCGAGGTGGAGATATTTGGCAGGAGCTACGGGACGGAGATGTTGTTCAAGGAAGAGTTTCAGAGTTGGAAACGCCAGAGGGGAAGAAGCGATACGGGTGTACGTATCCTTTACAAGAAGGCAGGGTCTTTCAGCTCAATCCCCATCGTCGACATGCTGTACTTCCGTGGACTGGTGAGCGACTTGTAGTAGTGGGCTACACCCCGGGAATGTTACAAAACCTTACAGCCCAAGACCGGGAGCGCTTGTGGGATTTGGGATTTCCTATGCCGTTGTTTGACGAGATGACCGGCACGATCGTGAACATCAATGCGCTATCTATAAGAAGTGTGGCCTATGGACCGAAGGTTTTTGATGAAGATGAATCTGATGTTCGAGTCGATGTTGGCAGTGTAGAAGAGCAGCCTACAAAGGAGTTGGACGGAAGTTCTACTCAGGCGGCGCCCGAATGTGAAGTGTGGGATCAATGGGATATGAGGTTGGCCCTGAACAGCGAAGGGAGTACCGCAACAATGGAGCATCCTGATGATGAGCAGTTGGCCTGTTTGCGCAAAGCCGAGGTGGTCTTTACGGAAAACGTCGAGGCAATCCTTGAAGGGCTAGAAGGTCCCCTTAGTGTGGTTTATACGGAGAACCCAAGGGAGGTAGCGCTGAACTTTGAGGCCTGGGTCCCGGCTCTTCAGAAGGAGATCTCCTCTTTATCTCACGCAGTGGAGCGAGTGCTGGCCAATGATGAGCAAGTGCAGAGGGAGGTGAGTTCTGGAGAAGCTCAGCTTATACCAATGAAGATCGTATTTACAGTGAAGCCTCCAGACGCAGCAGCCCCAGGACAAGCACCGAGCAGCTTCTGCAAAAGAAAGTGTCGTATTGTTATCTGCGGAAACCTAGCCTCACACCAACCCGGCGAGGTCTACACCAACACGGCGCCTGCAGAAGTAGTCAGAGCAGCCCTTGCCATTGCCAGGCTTGCCAGGGTGCGTAAGTGGAACTTGGGAATATTGGACGTCATTGCGGCGTTTTTGCAAACTCCTTTTGCAGAGCTACACGGCGCACCGCTCGTCTATGGTGTCCCTCCTAAACTACTTGTTCGTGCTGGGCTGTGTCAGAGTGGTGAGCTTTGGAAGCTGACCCACGCAGTCTATGGCTTACAAGAGTCACCTCGACTATGGGGACGGTACAGAGATATGCAGCTGGCGAAGATCCAGATAATCTTTGAGGGGAAGCGTGTGACACTACTGCAAGGACGTGTGGAGCCGTCGTGGTGGTCGGTGCTACAAGATGGGTCAGTGCTGATTGGAATTATCGTGGTCTATGTGGATGATATCCTGATTTGCGGGCACACGGCGATCATCAAGGAGGTGGAGCAGTGTGGAAGACGAATGAGCTTCAGTTGGTTTCGGACGGCATGATCAGGTTTCTGGGCATTGAAATTTCGCTATGCTCCCAGGGTCTTCTGCTGTCTCAACGGGCATACATTGAGGAGTTGGTTCGAGTTCATCAGCTCCCGGCGACCAGGAAAGACATCATTCCAGTGTCCAAAGACATGGCTATGTTTACGGCGGAGCCGGAGGAGGGCGTATACTCGGAGGGAGAGTTAAGGGCGGCGCAGCAATGTGCTGGAAAACTGCTGTGGGTTTCCCAGAGAACTAGGCCGGACCTGAGTTTTGTCGCATCCTTGGTTGGTTCCCTATCCACGAAGGCACCTCGCAGGGCAATCCAGATTGCAGAGAAGACCATTGCGTTTCTTCAAAGGACGATCAATTGGTCACTGGTGTTTGAAGCAGAAGAGTCAGGGCTATGTGGATACTGCGATGCAAGCTTTGCCCCGGAGGGGGCGCGTAGCCATGGTGGATGGATCGTGTTCTACAACGGATGTGTCATCTCATGGAGAAGTTCTCGTCAGGCTACGGTCACGATCAGCACAGCGGAGTCAGAGCTTACAGCAATTGCAGAAGCAGTGCTAGCACTTCAGAGCGTTTCATCTATGATGCAAGATGTTCTTCCTGGAGGTGAGCCAATGCAGCTGTATTCTGATTCCACTTCGGCTTTAAGCATTGCAAATGGTTCCGGGAGTTGGAGAACAAGGCATCTGAGGTTGAAGAGCGCCTGGATTGCTGAGCTTGTCAGCTCCGGAACAATTTCGATTTCGCACTGTGTGGGTGATCTGCAAATTGCGGATTTGTTGACCAAGGCCCTTCCTTCTCAGAGGATCAAGACACTAAGCCAGTTGCTAAATCTGCGGAATCCTGGAGAGAACGACGATGATGAGGGTGCGATCAATGTAGTGCGAGTCGGCAACAGCAACAGCAACAGCAACAGCAGCAGCAGCATAGCCACAGCCCCTAAGGCCCCTAAGATACTGCTAGCCCTTCTAATTTTGTCGCAAGCCACGGTTAGCACCGCGGGCCACTGGGATGAAGAGGAGGCGCTGGTTGTCAAAGCGAGCATGAGCGTGGACTATGGCATGATAACATGGGCGCTGTTGTGGGGAGCTGTTATCGTCGCGCTATTGTCATGGGAACTACTGAAGTGGCTTTTGTGGGTCGCCTATGATCGGGCAACCCCTGGCTCTAAGGCGAGGCGACTACGAAGACTTCAAAAGTTGAGAGAGGCTACGACGTCTGCTATACAACATGAGATCGAAGTGCGCCGAGGGAGCAGGTTGGAGCAGCGAGGGAGAGATTCAGAACTGGCTCCAACGGAGCAGTTACAAGGACCCCCGAGGGCTGATAGGTCTTCAACTACGACGGGATCTGGGGCAAGGTCATCCTCGGACTCGCACACTGAGGAGCGAATCCAACTACTGCGACGTTTGGCAAAGGGCGTAAAGGAGACAGCAGACGCGGCCTGTCAAGCGGGAGTTTTCACGCCAATGCCAGCTCCGCAGACGAGAGTGATTTTGCGCTATGTGCATGAGCCCGCGGGCGAGATCTTCTCGGTACCGGGCAACGAGTGCTACCACGTGTATGGGGATTGTCATGCGTTTCGCCATAGAGGAACTGCCGACCGGGTGGAAAGGAGACGCATTTGCCAATACTGTCTTACTCGAGCTGAAGATGATCCTGATAAAAGGGTGAACCATGCTGATGATTTGGCAAGGGCCCAGGAGTATGAGAGGGTGTTCAACACTCAGCTCCGGGTTTCGGGGCAACCAGTGCAAAGGTGAGCTGTCCTGACGGAAAGCCCAAGGAGGAGTGTTAATGCCCGGTAGTGAGTGTGCGAAGAAGTAATTAGCAACATATGTAAAGATGCAAGTTTTTGTCTGTGTGGCAGGGAAGGCTGCGGTTCGAGACCCTTGGGCCACGTTGAGAGCAGGCTGCCATGATCGGCAGAAGCCAGCAACACCACAGTCAGCTGTAAGTTCTGACGCATAGTTCAATCAGACGAATGCTATAAAGCATGTTCGCTGAGAGCTAACAACCTTTGTGTTGCGCGGAAAAACAACAGTGCAACTGTGCGGGCTGCGCCATGGCCGTTTCTGCTGGTGACATAAGTCCCGTTCCTCACTTATAGTAACCCTTAAAGGAACCCTTAAAGGAACCCGTGAAGGAACCCTATTCCCTACTAAGCATCAGGGAGAGTAGGCTCCGTGCACTTCGGTCTGAGGCTGCCTCGGGCAGTTTTTGCTGGGGTGATTCTTCTAGGGGATATGGGATATAGGACTTGGCATCCAGGGGAGTGCTTCGTGAGGGCTCTCTTGTGTGTGTGTGTGTGTGTAATTATGTGTGTATGTATGTACGTATGTATAGGGCCCGAGTCGCTCCCACCAGCGGGAGAACATCGTCGCGCCCCAGGACCCCCGCAGGGGTTCGCCATGGCCCATTGAGAATGGAGGTGGCCACCAGCATCAATATGTGTGAGAATCAGAAGCTCTCACCTGCTGAATGTCCAAAGCGGATGGCTTATCTGAAGTACCACGGCCTCAACACAGGTCTGGAATACCGAAAGTACGGCAAGGTGGAGGATGGTGATGACATCACCGACTGTGCAGCAGATCCAGCTGCCGTCATGAGGATGGTCACTGCAACCGCTGATGAGAGGAGTACGTATGCGCCGTCGGCCATGGCCGATTGTGTGTGCACCACGATTGCTAACGCAGGTGTTGCAGCTGTTGCTTCCAGCATCCTTGCTTGCATCGTCCTGGGCACTCTCCTGGAGTTTCGGTCCTGGGCACGTGCATTCCGGCCTGCCTACTTTCGCAGCAATCTGGGTGGTGACGGCTGCGGCCAGTTACGCTCCCTGGAATTATGCACTGAATCGCTTCTTCATCTGCCGCACAGGAGCTACTTTCGTGACTCTCGATGCCAACCAGTTCAGGCGTTCGTTGATGGTCGTGCTCAATGTGATTGGAACTGCGACCGCCGCAGCAACCGGATGGGGAAATCTGGGGCACGGTGTCACGCAAATCCTTTTGATTTTGGTGCTGTCCGAAATAACGATTCACTCTGGCATGGCAGCGGACACTGCCTGGCGAGTGTCTCTGATCGTGCCGGCCGTTTTCTGCCTCGTCACTGCGACAGGCTTGAAGCTGCTGCGTAGGGACACCTCCACTGCAGCGCGGTTGGACGTGTCCGTGACGGGCAAGATCACGAAATCATTGTTGTGGGACTCCTTTGAAGCGTTGAAGGACTTCAGGGTCGTCGTCAGAATCATGCAGTATTCGACAAGCATTCGCACGGAGCTGGCGATGAACAACCAGTTGACCACTCGCTTCAGGACCTACTTCCTGATGGATGCGGCAGATGTCTCTGCCCTGGCAGGAGCCTTTGGTCTCTCAAATTTGGTCCCATACCTTTACGTCCACTTTATGTTGATGTACTCTGCCCCGGTCATCTCGGCTGAGAAGGATTACCATGAGCACCAGTGGGGAATGCTGCTGAACCGACTGCCTGATTGCTCCCTAAGTGGCTTGAACGTGGATATCACTGAGTGTCAGACCAAGCTGGTCCTATACCCACGCATCCACTTCATGTTGATGTTTTATGCCTCGGTCTTCACGGCTGCGAAGGCTTACCTTGAGCACCAGTGGGGAATACTGCTGAGCCGATTGCCGGATTGCCCCCTGAGTAGCTTGAACTTGCTGGAACGTAAGAGTGCTCGACATATGTATGTGTATATACGAAGCAAGTTGGCAAGTCACACCTGCCAACTACTTGGCCGTGCGAGCCCTCCTCAAAGTTGTGACATTACACCCTTCGGCTCTGCTTTTTCGATGTGTGCACGCTGTCACTGCACATTTGGGAATGCTTGAGTGGGCACAGTTCTTTTGAGGTTTCGGGCATGTTAGCTTTGTTCTTGCCTCTCCCAGCCCCTGGAGGAATGCTCAAAGCTGGACCGCAGGGAAGTCTGATGATCAGCTCTCCCTGTTGTCGTCTGTAGGTTTGTTGCTGGCTTCGTGGTCGTTCATGGGCCAACTGTTGTTGTTGTCGCGCTTTTGGAGGGTCCGCGCTCCCGAGCCTGGTTGCGTGTGTCAGTGCTTTTAAATGAGAGGCGCTCGGATTGGCCAGACAGCTTTTAGCCAGGGGAAGTGGCTGCTGGGTTCATCTGGTGATCCCTTTTTCGATTTTGCCTCTCATCGCAGATTTCTGCGCCACGGGCCCTAAAGGACTGTGAGCGCATACTGCTTTCCAATCTAATTAGGTGCTTGTTGAATTCTTATGCATGTGGCGCGTTCACCGAACACAGGCCATCCGAAAGAAAAGTACGTATGTATGTAGTATGTATGTACGTATGTATGTAGTATGTATGTATGCATGTGTGTGTGTGTGTGTCTGGTTGTTTGTTTGCTTGTTTGTGTGTTTGTTTGCGTGCGCTTTTGTTGAGGGAGGACGGAATGGGGAGGGTGTCAAGACATTTATTGTTCAAGGTTTTGCTGTGCTGAGGCTCCACTGTTTCACAGCGCGGACTACCATATGGTTATGTCGAATACAGCAGCGGGATAACTGCCAACACTATTCCCTAGGCTTCCATAGTACAGGTATACGATGACATAATCACAAACCTAATTATACTTCTTTTTTGCTGAGGCCCCTAATTATGCGATGCAAAGGTTGAACAAGTCAGTTGCAGCCATTGGGTTCGGTATGCTTCTTTGTTCTGGCATGAGGCCTGAGAGCGTTTAGGGATTAGCGTTAAGTTCAGGGTTTAGAGCTTGAGGTCTGTCTGGCATTCAGAAGTAGAGGGCTTGTGGCTTTACATGGGTGGTTGTCAATGTTAGGGTCCCTTTTGGGGTCCTTATTACAATACGGCGCCTAAGATTTACTGCACCCAAAAAAGGGACCATAATTTTGACAACCACCCACCTAGACACTGAGCCATACTATTAATATAGTACCCTTATAGATCCCTTATAGACCCCTTTAAGGAACCCTTTAAAGGAACCCCCCCCCCATAGCATTCTGTGACAAAG